GTGCTCGGAAGAGACTCATTAATGTAGATGGATCAGTGAGTATTAGAGGACAACAAGTGCCGCACCTTGCCGGGAAAGTTTCAAACACAATGTTGATGTTGGAGATAGGAAGCGGGAGGGAAGGCAATGGTGCGGGTGGCCTGCAAAATGCTACACCAGGAAAGGTGCCTATTGTAAAGAGGAGGAAGCAGGGGGGAGATCTGGTGGAAGGAGAGGATGTCTTAATGTTAACAAATACGGCGGCCTCCGGCGCGGAGGGCCGCCAAGCCCAATGAATCTTATTAGTTGGAACTGCCGGGGAGGGGGGAATACCCGGACAATTCGAGAGATAGCGACCATATCGCAGTCGCATTCCCCCATGTTTGTATTTGTGTGCGAGACAAGGCAAACATCAAGTAAAATGAAGAGAACCGGGAGTAGAATTGGTTTGAAGGGGTTCGAAGGAGTAGATAGTATTGGGATGAGTGGTGGACTAGCCCTGTTTTGGCATGAATCCTGCGACGTCAACATTCTGGAAAAGGATGATCGCTTCATCGATGCGCTAGTGCGGGTTAATCCGGACTCAGTGCAGTGGAGACTGATGTGTGTATATGGAGAACCAAGGGTTGAGAATAGACACATGATGTGGACAAAACTAAAGGACCTGAAGAATGCTAGTAATCTTCCATGGTTAGTAGTGGGAGATTTCAACGAAGCTCTCTGGGATTTTGAGCACTGGTCAGCGACACCAAGACCTGAGGCTCAAATGATTGCATTCAGAGATACACTGGAAGTTTGCGAGTTGGTGGACTTGGGGTTCTCGGGGATCCCCTTCACATACGATAATAAGCGCAGCGGGAATAACAATGTTCAAGTTCGGTTGGATAGAGCAACAACGACTAATGCATGGAGGAATCTTTTTCCTTACTACAATGTTATGCATGTTGTTTCCCCTTGTTCAGATCATATAGCCCTAGTGCTGAAAGGTGAACCAGAAACAAAGCGGTCAGGACCAAAAACGAGGAGATATGAAGTTTTTTGGGAACGTGATGAAAACCTACCAAAGATCATCAAAGAGGCCTGGGAATCGGTGGGGGCTGTGGATAATCTGGAAAAGCTGCAAACTGCGTTGCGGAAAACTATGGCCACCCTTGGTGTTTGGAGCAATCAGCGGTTTGGTAATGTTGCAGGGGAATTGACTAAGTCCAGATCGCAGCTCGAGGAACTTATGCATATGAATGCGGATCGGCAGGAGATAAGGAGGATAAGGACAAAATGAACGAGCTGATCTACCAAGAAGAGATGCTCTGGATGCAAAGATCAAGAATCTCGTGGCTCAAATAGGGGGATCGCAACACCAAATATTTCCAGAGTAAAGTGGTGTGACGCGCAAGGAAAAATAAAATTAGAAGTCTCACAGATAGCATTGGAAACATCCACACAGACTTTGTTGAGATGTCCAGTATGGCCACAGAGTATTTCAAAGGTGTTTTTTCTGTGGATCAGAATCTTGATGCGTCAGAGGTGCTAGACCTGCTGGAAGCAAGGATTTCGGAGGAGGATAATGCAAAATTATGTGCTCCATTCAGTGTGAAGGAGATTGAGGATGCGATGTTTCAGATTAGTCCTCTAAAAGCTCCCGGTCCGAATGGCTTCCCAGCTAGATTTTATCAGCAGAATTGGAGTACGCTGAAGAACGGTGTGGTGGCTGCGATGAAGGAATTCTTCGAGACCGGGATTCTCCCGGAAGGGGTAAACTCAACGGCCATTGTGCTCGTACCCAAAATTCCCAACCCAACAATGCTTACACACTATAGGCCGATAAGTCTTTGCAACGTAATATACAAAGTCATCTCGAAGTGCTTGGTTAATCGTATGAGACCTTTGCTGGATGATGTCATCTCCCATGAGCAAAGTGCCTTTATACTGGGTCGGCTAATAACAGATAATGCACTGGTGGCTTTTGAGTGTATTCACCATATTAAGCAAGAGAAGGACCCTACAAAGAGTTTTTGTGCATATAAACTTGATCTCTCAAAAGCGTATGATCCTGTGGATTGGTCGTTCTTGAAGCGAGTGATGCAAAAGCTGGGATTCTCTCATAGATGGGTGGACTGGATAATGTCATGTGTCACGTCTGTGAGTTACTCTGTCAGATTAAATGGAACCCTATTGGATTCATTCACACCGACGCGAGGTCTTCGGCAAGGCGATCCTCTCTCACCCTTTTTATTCTTATTCGTGGCTGATGGTTTATCTTCTATCCTTAAACATAAGGTTTTTGCTAGCGTAATCACCCCGGTTAGAGTGTGCAGACGGGCCCCTGGTGTCTCACACCTATTGTTTGCGGACGATACAATATTGTTCTTTGAAGCTTCAAAAATTCAAGCAGAAGAGGTGAAGGCTGCGCTGGAAATATATAGTAAAGCAACCGACCAAAGCTTGAATTATGAAAAATGTTCAATCCTCTTTGGGAAAAGCATGCCCAACTTCTGTTCAAGAGGAGATCATAGGGGTGTTACAGGTGTCCAGTGCGGTATTTGAGGAAAATTACTTGGGGCTCCCAACACCAGATGGACGGATGTCGAAAGGAAGGTTTCAAAACCTCCAGATGAGCTTAACAAAATGCCTGCTATAGTGGGGGGATGGACTCTTGGCGCAGCCCGGAAGGGAGGTCCTCATTAAATCAGTAGCGCAAGCCCTACTGTAAGGGCATATTTATCCCTCAGGTGTTTTGGTGATTGATGACAATGCATTTGCGAACTAATCGTGTGCCTTGAGTTTCTCAGATACTTCATCTCTAGGCATGAGACGATTCGGTGCCCATCAGAGACTATTGAAGTCGGTGTTGTTCTACGTTTCTCTTTGGTGGATTTGAGTCGTAGGAGAGCCGTACTATTAAGAGGGGGTCCGCGTCGGAAAGGTTTGGGTGGAATCAACACGTACACTTGTTCCTCCTTTCCCTGCTTTTTGGAGCTTCCCTTTGTTATCATGGTTGTGCGGAAATCTGACGACTACTGCCGTACTTGCGGTAGTACCGCAAGTACACGCGGTAGTACCGCTGTGTGTCACGGTAGTACCGCTCATCTGGAGCGGTAGTACCGTGGCTCCCAGGCCTTGTGCCGCTCTGGTGCGGTAGTAGGGGCGGATGTAATTTTTTACATACGCGCCCTCCACGGTAGTACCGCTCGTCCAGCGCGGTAGTACCGCGGGGGCCCACGGTAGTACCGCTCGCTAGGAGTCGTAGTACCGTGGCCCTCCTACCTAGTACCGCAGTATCGCGGTAGTAGGCGCGGATGTAATTTTTTACATCCGCGCCCGCACGGTAGTACCGCGCCTCGCGAGCGGTAGTACCGCGTCGGATTTTTGTACCACCTCAGTTTCAGCGGAAGTAGGCACGGATGTAATTTATTTCATCCGCGCCCTTCCCAGGCCGTGACTTTCCTACCTAGCGGTAGTACCGCAAGTGGGTGCGGTAGTACCGCGCAAGCGGTAGTACTGCCCCCTTGTTAGGCTAGTTTCGGCCTGTGCTGATGTCGCGGTAGTACTGTGGTCAGCCACGGTAGTACCGCACAGCGTCGCGGTAGTACCGCGCCCCTGGAGCGGTAGTACCGTGGGTCGTGGGCTGAACATGTGGATAACGGTTGGATTCTTTCCACGACTATATAAGGGGTGTCTTCTACCTCTAGTTGACCACCTCTTCCACCTCTAAGCTCCATTGTTGCTCCAAGCTCCATTTTCACTCGATCTCTCTCCCTAGCCAATCAAACTTGTTGATTTGCTCGGGATTGGGTGACAAGTGCCCGATCTACACTTCCACCACAGGATATTTGATTCGCCCACTTATCCCTAGCGGATCTTGTTACTCTTGGGTGTTGAGCATCCTAGACGGTTGAGGTCATCTCGAAGCCATACTCCATTGTGGTGAAGCTTCGCGGTATTGTTGGGAGCCTCCAAGTGTTGTGGAGATAGCCCCAATCTTGTTTGTAAAGGTCCGGTTGCCGCCTTCAAGGGCTCCAATAGTGGAATCACGGCATCTCGCATTGTGTGAGGGCGTGAGGAGATTACGGTGGCCCTAGTGGCTTCTTGGGGAGCATTGTGCCTCCACACCGCTCTAACGGAGACGTACTTCCCCTTAAAAGGAAGGAACTTCGGTAACACATCCTCGTCTTCACCGGCTCCACTCTTGGTTATCTTGTCCCTTTACTTTTGCAAGCTTACTTGTGCTATATCCATTGCTTGCTTGTGTGCTTAGTGTCTTTGCATCATATAGGTTGTCCACGTAGTTGCACATCTAGACAACCTATTTCATTGCAAGTTTTAAATTGTTAAAGAAAAGTCTAAAAAGTGTTAGTTGCCTATTCACCCCCCCTCTAGTCAACCATATCGATCCTTTCAATTGGTATCAGAGCCTCGTCTCTTTATTAAGGACTTTGCCGTCCGAAGAGTATGGTTGACAACAACGACGGTGCGGAGGAGCACTCCGGTGTGAATCCCATCTCGTCTTCGGCCGAAGGGGGAACCTCGGTCTCTCGTGAGGAATTCAATGTGGCTTTAGACACATTGAAGACCTCCATGACGGCCGAGGTTAAAAGCATGTTTTCTGAATTCCTAGAGGGACTCAAACTATCTACCTCGCCAATGAAAGTGGGTGATCCCATTAACAAGGTGACGGATGCTAACCCCGACAAGGGGGAAGCTAATAGTGAAAAGAGTCCGTCTACTAGTGGTAGAAATGGCACCGGCATCTTTGCCCATATGGAACCACCGGTGTATAGAGGACCGATCCCCTCTACTCATTTGAATCATGCCGGTCCTCCTCCTAAATATGTG